TAAAATATATATGTATTAGAACATTTTAAATTCTAAATAACATATCAATACGCAAAAATTGCAATTAATTGCAATTAATTGCAATTATTTGCAATTTAATTGATCACAATTATTTTTGTGTAACAATTATGATTTACGGTAATTGTAATAAAATTGAATTGCAATTAATTTTTCGGCACCCCTGGTGATGATAATTTGGTAATATCTTAATAAGGATGATGATGTTAAAGCTTACGTTGATCAAGTGATATCGGTGATAACTTTAAGTTCACGTGATGGGTTCACAAGGATGTTCAACCACAAGAAGCATCGTGAATGGCAATATTTGATTCCTTAAAACAATATTACTCAAGTCTTAATAAGCCAAATCAAAGTTACAAGTTAATTCGGTCCGTTGAATTGAGCCTCGATGTGTTACAATTCGAATTCAAGGGATTAAGTTTTGTAGTTACAAGAAAAATTTCAGATAAGTTATACTTTATTATTTATTGTTTTTATATTCCATAGTTGATTTTTCTTTATTGAATACCGCTTCTTGCGTAGCTGTTATACTAGCTACTTGCGTAGGCATTGAACTAGCTTCTTGCATGAACATTTCTTCTTGCGTGGGCATTGCTTCTTGCGTGAGCATTGCTTCTTGCATTGCTTCTTGCATTGCTTCTTGCGTGAGCGTGAGCATTGCTTCTTGCGTGGGCATTGAACCTTAGGTGCTTATATACATTTCAGAAACTTCAGAGCGTTTACGCTGATTTTCCAGCAACGTCACGCCAAAATTTTAACGTTTATCGTAATACTATTAATTTAGTGTTCCGCTAAATTTCCAGCTTTAACACAATTAACTACGTAACCCAGCCACCATCGATTACCATTTCAGTATAAACTATTATTTAGTGTACATAGAAATAATGAAATAACCATATTTGAAGATTGTTATCCAAATGGGATTTGAGTCACATGAAAATATACATGTGGAAATTCTATCGAACAAAAAAAGACTTTTTAAAATTTTTAATTCGTTACAACAGCATACCAAAAAATTTTTAAAAGAACACTTACTAAACAAAGTTATTGTACCACTTGTGCATGTATAAAGCTTACAAGATTAAAGCTGTTTAGGTATTTTAGCAGTTCAGGAGAGCATCATGGCGGAACATTTCGAATTTCATGTAAACATTTTCGTTAAGTCGTACATTTTTTCGGTCGAAACTGAATGAATGAAGAATCATCATAACCAGGAATTAAGTCAAGGTCAGTCGATATTAAAACAAATTTGGGTTGAGTCATTATCAAGTCTATCAGAGAGAATTTTCATCGGGAAAATAAATATGGTACAGATCTGTAAAGATCTGCACCATATTTATTTTCCCGATGTTATAAATCCTGGAGATATCATTATTTAAATCTAAACTTACTGTTCATGCTTGCAGTGAGTGTAAAAGTTTGCCTGTTTTAAACATCCACTTTTTACACTGTCCATTTCTTGGCATAGATTTTCTCATATATTTTAAAATTAATGAAGACATCTCTTTTAACATCGCACTCTTTAATCCATAATTTCAAATGGCATTAATTTCTAGTTGTATTACAAATACTTCAGTGTTGAATATTTCGCTGAAATGTCTAAAGCTATATAGGGTCGTCATAATTTAATCTTTAGGACTCAAATCGCTTTCTGGAATATTTAATTTTATCTAAATTACAAGAGAAAAACCTCCCAGAATATATCATCAACTTACTTTTTTTGAGATGTTATCGCTTTTTTGAGTTAGCTGGACCAACCTATTTTAATTTTTTTTTCGAGTCCCGTGATTCCTCTGACTACAGTATATATAATTAACTTTTGGATTAGACAATTATAATGATAGTTGTTTGTTTAGGTACGTATATAGTATACATGTGGCGACAAAAACTGTGTAATATTAAATGAGTTAAAAATGTGCTGTGCATCATCATATACGCCAAATTTGGCTTGATATATTCGAGATTCCAAAATTTGGGATCGTCTAAAGCGGAACTACCCCTGTATCACCATCAAAATGTCAGTGTCACATGATCGCAAAGTCGTTTATGTTAGGGTTAGCGTTTAAATTAATGTTAAAGATTGAGGTGTTTATAGTAAAATTACTCAAGAAAATTTTTTTTTATTAATGCGCAAAAGGGCAGTTTCTTATGTAAATTTTGAGAAATAGCCGAGCTTTGACAAAACTGACGTTTGTTTTGGAACTTCGCAATCATGTTACGTTACACCAAATTGCGGCATTTTGATGGTACAGTTGTGCAAAACAAATACTTCTGCACCTACATTCTGATACACCTAAACATACCCTAAAATTTCTATACTTTTACTAACTTTAACTATAATAACGTGCAATATTATTGGTTAGTATTGGGTAAGTTTAGATGTATCAAAAAGGTAGGTGCAGAAGTATCAAAAATGAATGTGATTAGAAGTTAAAATTATAATTTTTTAAATTTTGAGCGTAGCTTTTTTAGTGATCACTTTATTAATTTTGATGAAAATTTTTTATCTAAATTTTACAAATATTAGAATTCAGATAAAAAAAAGTTTTTATCGAAATTGGTTAAGTAGTTATCAAGAAAACTTTGCCCAAAATCAAAGAAATTCATTCCGTTTATAAATGTTTAAAACTTTGAGGTTTTCTTGACAATCACCTAACTAATTCTATAAAATCTTTTATTTAAATCTTATAATGCTGCACAAAGGTGATTTTTCGTTTTGCATTACACGGCATTCGTCATTTCGATCTGCGGTCTGATTTTTTTTATTAATCTAAATTAATAGACTGAATTATTCATGTAGCCAAGATCTTTAATTTCTAAGGCTTTCTTGAAAAAGCATCTTGTTTGTTCAGATGATTTCAAGGTCTTTAATTAACTTATGAATCAGTTAAATCATAAGGCATTATAAATTATGTTGAGTTTATTAAACCTACTAGTAATTTTTTTCAACTTATTTTTGGTTAATAATCATGTTTTCTTATCACATTTTTATATCATGCTAAATGAGTCCGATCAGTCCTTATAAATCATTCGCCGTGTGTTAATATTTAGATAATCTTGCTATTTATAAACCAAATTGAAAATAATTTAGTCATTATTAAATACAAAACAAAATTTGTTATATCTTAGTTTCCGGATCTTCTTTGCGACCACTGTAGTATTAGCCATTATTATATATTATTGATGTCCTAGTGCAATCTTCACGTAAATGCGACTACACTAAAATTGAGCCATAAAATTTTAATATGAACGTTATGATTTTAGTGTTAACGCCATAAGAAATAAGAATTTTTTTGTTAACAATATGAAGAAATTATTTAATTATGTTTATGTGATAATAAATGTCGATGATACTGAGATGGATGATGCTAAAATTAGGTGTCTGATTTGAATATATAAACCTTACTAAACTCCACATATACCTTTATACCCTTTTATTATGAGCTTTAACCCTAACTCCAAATTTAGTTCTAAACAAATAAGTATAAGATATTAGTCATGCAATGATTAATATCATGAAAGTTGTTTGTCAGAGTAATGATTGGATGGCATGTGCCGTAGCGACACATTTAGCGGTTGTTGCACACTTTTCCGAAGTCCATTTTTCTGGAATACCCTTTCACCCTTTCACCGAAGTCGTAATACCGACAATCCATTTTACTACGGGACAGAAATAGGTCTGTGTCATTTCACCGAATATCAATTAACCGACAAGCTAATTTAATTGACAGTTTATTTAACCTGCAGTCATTTCACCGACAAAGTAATTCTGGCCATTGTCGTCAGATTTGAATTATAGTTAAGGTTAGTGCAATCTTTAAAAAAACCTGTCAGTAAAATAAACTTATTGGTTATCTGATTTTCGGCGAAATGACACAGACAAATGGATTTCGGGAAGTTAAACCGGAACCAGTTGTAGGGAAGATATTTGCCCATTTATTGTGCTTAGTTATACGAATGTGGTGCGTCAGGGGATGGGAAGGTGGTGTGATAATATTGGTATCCGTGAGGAGTGCATTTTGGTGCATAGAATTGCAGCATTCTTTGCTAGGAAAATCACCATTCGACATTTTCCGATCGGGCAAATTAGGGAAAATTCAAACCAATATTACCGGTATTTACTTGCATGTAAATCATTTTTGCCTTTACTGATTCAAACGTTCATTCGATAAGCTATTGAATCAATAAGAGAAAAAATGATTTACATTTAAATAAGAACCGGTACGTTGGTTTAAAATGTTCCGAATTAGCCCGATCGGAAAATGTCAAAGTGTGATTTTCTAGCAAAGATCCCATATGTTTTTGTAAATTTTGGTAGATAACTTATGGAGTATGTCAGTGAAAGTGCTATGAGGAGTTAAAGTTATTGCCCGGATGTTGGGAATGTTTGTACTGGTTGTGAAAAGGATTTGTGAAAAGGCAGCAGGGTCCGGTATGTGAACATCATGTTTAGTGGAGTATTTTGTCACTGTATTGCTTATGAGGTGGTGCAAAGATATTTGGTTTTTGAAGCAGGTTAGTCAGTAGGAGTTAGCTGTTGCAGGTGGGGTTAGTGTACTTCTTTGGTGCCTGTAGTGTAGGTTGAGCAGGGTTGGTAGCTCATCAAACATGAATTTACTTTTGAATTTTCTCTTTAGTGAAAGTTTGGGATATATAAATTGGGTATGTGGTTTGTTATTATAGTTAAAGAATTGGTGTATAATAGCCCAATTCATCAGCTGCCTTATGTAATTTAGTTGTTTGCTTTGTTAAGTAAGTGCTACTAGGCAGTAGCAGATAAAACATCAAGTTTTGTGCTTAACTGGTATATTGTTTTATATAAGGTAGAAATTGTTGTTGTCCAATATGTGTAATTATAGCTAGAGTTTGTATTGCTATAAAGAAATTACTAGCTATATCATTCTCTAGAAAAGTAGATATTTTGCTTTTGGATCAATATGAATAACTTAATTGAAAATTTTTTAGAAATAATTATAATTTGGATTAGTTGCTTAAATAGACAAAGGTCATATTACTAGATAAAAATATTTAGATAAAATAAATATTAGATTACAGAGTTAACTTGATTGATAATTAGTTTGTAAAAAGTAGAGATTATAATTTGACAATTGTATAGAGCAATTGCTAGTATAGATATAACTCTAATAAGATATGCCCTGGTTGTGAATAGCCAGTATATAATTTAGATTAAAAATAAAATATTAGCTAAAAAAAGAATTTAGATCATATTTGCCTAGCTACTTGGGTGTTGAGATTAATTGTAATAATGTGAAAATATAGATAAAATTTTTTTGTATAAAGTTGACTTGGTTAAAATAGTTCAAGTAAAATATAACAGTATCTGCTATAAATAGTTAACCAAGCATGTTAGTAGAAACTATAGAGGTGTATATTATTTTTGGGTCTGAAGATTGGTATAATGGTAGGTTGATAAAAGGTTAAGTTTGGTGTAATATTGTATTGATTATTAATATTAGTATAGTTAGACCTTTCTAAATACATCTTCTATAAGTATATATCTTTCTAAATATATGCTCAAATTTTGGCTCAATATATATTTAACCTTTATAAATGCATTTTTTTTATTATTCTCTAAATGCATATTATTAAAGTATGTTTCAAGAATATGCACTTAGAGAGATCTAACTATACATAGTTGTTTTATACTAGTTATCT